TGTAATGAGTTAATGTATCTTATTTTTCACATATTCTGTTACGTATCTTTTCTTCCAGATGAAAAGCCTATCTGCATCCAAAGAGTGTGACGGCTTTGGCGACAGAGAGATCCGGGACATTGCCAGTCAGATCATGGTAGGAAACATCTTTTCACTTGAAGCAGCACCACTTGGTCAAACCCTGAGCGTTCGTGTTGCAGAAGCCTTCTCTAACTAACCAAAAGGCCTGTGTGTGGTAGATGCTGGACGTGAGCGTGTCCCAGCTGTCCAATCTGCATCCTGCCCTGGCCACCGGAGTCACGCAGAAGCAGAGTGAGGTGAAGGACTGCTGGGCACTTCTTCATAAAGTCTTCAGGTAAGAGAGCAGGCCAAGGATCCAACAACTTTGGTGGCCCTGTGAATACATGAGGCATTTCTCTCAGTAATTGGTTCTCTACAGATTTCCACCGAGCTGGAACCGTATTTTGCTGTTATTACTCTTCTGGTACCAGACATTAAAAGTCTATACTGGCAGAACATGGGAGAAGTTTTCCAACAGAAAATGAGCGTTCTCTCTTTCTCTTGATTAGGCGTGTTTGATTTGGGATTGAAGCCTTGAATAATTATAAGCAAAGTGAAGGAGCGCTCTGTCTGGGTCGTCTGGAGACCGCCTGCCACACACGTCATCCCTCACCACACACTTTTTGGTTTATAGTTTTCAGTTTTCTGCACTGCTTTGAAATTTGACATATGTTTGATTATTGTACATGGTGAATAATGTCCTGGCTGATGGAGTTAAATTGGCAACATGGTTTGTTCTTGTCTAACTGAAATCCTGCATTCTCTTTGAACAATTTGCTAAATCTGTGATAAAACATATTTATAAGATCTTTACAGCATTTATAAAACAGATTTATTGTTAATACAGGCTACCATGAGAATTCAGATGTATTATTATACTATCAGAAGCAATATTTGCTTAACCACTGCAGCCACATTTAAAAGTTGTGGGAACTAAAGTTTGTGCACTGGGGTCAATACTGAATTACTGACACATCCCTGACGTCTGGTGACATCAGAAAGATCTCCAAACCTGCTGACGTCTGATTAATAAGAACATTTATGACAGATGGACCCAGAACATTGATACAAAGGAGTTAGTTTTTAATGAGGTGACATTTTTTGAATGGCAGTCTACGCAGCCAGATATTTTTTTTGGAGCCAGCCCCTGCAGGCCCTCTGTGGTATTTAACTTATAAGCACTTCTGCATCCAGGCCCGGAAGCTTCATCCACATTTTATATACACTCTGTGGTTACAGTCATACAGCATGTACAGTAAAAACGTGGTATTCTTTGAAATAGTGTCCAAAATGCACAGGAACATCGTCTCAACAGTAAATTTCAAATGCTGTATAAAACAAAACAAAAAAATAGGTGAAGGTGGAAGTGGAATTGGAAATCATAAAATTATTTCTTGAGATGTGCTGAATGACTAAAATGTACTATTGTTTTTATCAAATTCATTAGGGTCTGTCTTCTGGGGACTAAGATTCAACAGTTTTATTTTTGTACAAAGCATTGAATTGGCCAATGGATAACATTGATCATCCCTCCACTCTGCCTGGGCATAAAGGACTGAATATTTTCCATGTTCATATTAGTATATGTATTTACATTTTTGCAGCAATGTGGTATAAAAGATTTATGACGATTTTAATTCTCTTTTACACTGAGGCAGTGTCTGAGCTTTAAAATGGCATTTTATGCAATCATCAACCCATACATTATAAAGCTTTGCACAGAGTCACTGCGGTTTTGTAGGCGAAACCCAAATTTATAAAATATACATATATATATCTCTGGATCAGGTAACATACACCCATACAGAGACCACTTGAAAATGTCAGACCAAAATTATATATTTATACTCTGTCCAGAAAGGGTGGGCCAGAGGGCCTTCTGCAGTTTTAATCCATCCATCGCCAACATTCCTGTTCTCCAAACATTTCTCAGGCTGCAGCTTCTCATGTCAGCGGGCTATCTTTAGATCTAACTATTACATCACCTCATCTGTCTTATCAGCTATTTCAACCAAATAAGACAAACACTGGAAGGAAACCTCAGAGCCATAATTGGAATTTATCATGCTGCTGTCAGCGCCGCCGTAAAACCCCTGCTCTGCTCGTCCTGCAGGAGCGACAGGACCATGCTCTCTCCCACTGGTTCCACTTTCACCAGGGAAGACGCTGACCCCCTGACACCGGCATGTGAACCCCAGGGCAATGTGGGAACAGAGACACAAAGGATCATGGGAAAGGAGGTGAAGGAGGAGCAGAATCGTCTGAAAGGCTGTGTGGTGAGTAGCTTTGTTTTTTGTTTTTTTTCGTTCGGTGGCTGAGGAAACCACTCTGTGGCTCTTGACGCCATCGGTGCGGGCAAAATATGAGGTCAGCTTCTTCCAGGACTATGACATGTGCAGAAAGTGATGCACTTTGTGCTTTGGTTTGGAAAATGCCTGATTTAACATTTTAAGCAGGTTTTTCCTTAATAACAGTATTTCTGGTGGTTTCTAGGCAACCAACAGCTGGTTTTCCATCCTACCAGCTAGTTAGTTGCTCTTAATACTATCATCTGGCGTTGTAGTTGTGAGGAAGCTTCTGACAAGACTGAATTCCAGTGGCTCTAAAACTTAGCAATATGTAACGTGGCTCAGTTTTCTTGCCAAGCGATCTATCACCTAACAGGAACCCCAGTCTGCTAATGTTATGAATGTCACCCAGCAGGAGTCACATGAAGAGCTTTTAGAGGTGTTATTGACCCTGGCACAAAGATTCCATATGTTTCCATGAAATATGTCAAAATGTGACTTTACACCATGTTTGAACGGTGGGCCAGAGCAAATACGCTTTTCCTGTCGAGCCTAAAATTTCACTTTATGGTAGAGTAATATCTTGGCCACTCCAAGAAAAGTACACAGTCATTGGATTAATGTGTTAATAAAAGATGGTTGGGTCAATGCAAGGTGAGTGGTCTATCTGCCGAGCATGTGGATTACTCAGACACCATATCCTTCATATTAGAGGCCTGTACCAGCACTTTATCTAACACTGCAGTACACCAGTCATATCAATGCCCATAAACCTACGAGGAAATATGTCTTTTAGAAGAGAAACATAAGTGTGAGGTGTAAGAACCAGCAATTTTGGGTATATCATAGTTTATTATGTTAGCACATCAAACGTCGTAAGTCAGTGCACAGAAGCTATTTGTTCTCAGTCAAGAGGTATCACACAATGCAGTGCTCCTCATCTCTCCTTGAGTTTCTTGTGAAGTCCCCGCTGAACCTCTGGCCTTATTTTACCTGATGAGGAAGTGACCAGATGCTGGAGGAGAAGGAATCTTCAATCTTTGCACTCTGCCTGTTTTCCTGGTTCGTTTATTTCCCTCCTCATGTCTTTAGGTGACAGAGAGCCCATCAGGCCAGTGGAGCCTCACGGCTCTGCGGTGGTTTCACTCAACGGGCTCTGAGCTCATTGGCATGGCAATCCTTAGCCCTTTTTTTCAACAGTTAGTATTTCTTTATTGCACTGAACTGGGAGTTACCTGAGTGCACTGTCTTTGGAAGCCTCGTTACTCTTTATGAAAGGATTAATGAGACACTCCAAACAAAACCCTGGAGCCCAAAAGGGCTGAAGTCAGAACCACCAGTGGAACAGTAAAAGTAATTTGTCACATACTTTCGCTGCTCCAGAGTGTACTGAATTGATTACAGTATTTTTAACAATAGTAGATGTAGCTGCACAGGTCTGCGGGCTGGTAGTGACTAGGACTATCACAGACATGCTGGTAGATCATATTTTTTCAGGTTTACAAAAACACACTTTCCTTATTACAGGTATATATATAAGAAACCTGCTGATATCTTTGAAGGTTTTAGTGTCGGTGTGGGTACCTGGATTATAAAGCAAACGTCTGTGTCCGCACGCAGTGCTATTGCTTCTTGTTTCTGGAGGTAAACATGGCCATCGTCTGTTTCTCAGGGTAATCGTAACCAGATGCAGGGGCTGCAGACCAGATGGGCTCGGTGCTAAGTGATAGTTCTTGGCTGACATCACCTCATAGCACGTTGCAAAGGAAGACGCACAGGGGAAGAGCAGTTCAGTAGAAAACAGATAAAGATCAACAGATCAGGGAGATGCCTATTGAAATAGGAGACGATTGACTGAGGGTTAAAAGACAGAATACCATTGAATATGACATTAAAAACCAATGAACAACTATTTGTTTCTTTGTTGCTGTGACGTCATGAGTAAGAGTGGGATGTCGAGTTGTTTAGACTTGAAGCCAGTGGGACAGAATATCTGAGGAGGAGACATCCATGATGTTCATCAATCCTGTCGAATCAGAAACACTAGAATGTTAGTGTTTTTCAGCACATAAATGAGCCAATAATCATAGTCGCCTGCAAATTAACTGACATGTTCATGAATGATATTCGACTCCTTCAATTTACTACATTCCCAGTGTAACATTGAAGGTGACACTTTCCATTCTTACTCACTTCTTCTGTTAGCCCAGTCAAATAATAACAAGAGGAAATTAAATCTACTCCAATTATAATATTATCATTATTAATGATTAATGTTTTGTTCTTTTTGGCTGCTGTTTCAATCCAGCAATCCAGATTTTTAATGTGAAATCATTGACAGATACATGTTTATCTTGCTGATTGTTGAAAAACTTTACCTGCGCCAGAGCTATTGTAGTGATGGTCAGATTTATACATGCAGTTAGACAGAAACGTCAGCGTAAGAAAATGTTTTGCTAAATTCACAGTCAGGCCAACCAGATTTGGTAAGTAAAGCAAAGCTGAATTTTTCTTGATAGTTCAGAGTCAAAAACCAATACAGAGAAGAACAAGAACCAAAACAAGACACACCCTCTTTCATTCGTTCCGTTGGACTAAGTTTATGCAGCATTGCAGTCTTTTACAGAGGTGTGCAGTTGTTTAAAAGGCCAATTGTCAGGATATCCCACCCTGTAATAGTGCAACTTCATGTAGTTCTCTTTAGAAGTCCTTTGTCCAATCTTTCAAATACAATTCCACAAACGTCTGTATGGCTGTACGTGGAATGCAACTTAAAAACTGTAAATCTTATTGGCTTCAAACTTGGCATATGTGTTGTTTTTCATGGGAAGTGCAGTGTCGAGTTTGATGTGATTTGGACATGAGATATATATCCAGTATTAATAACATTAGAAGAAAGACTCAAACTGCACTCTGCAGCAGTCAGTGGGGGCGGGGCATTGGTCCTTTGACCTGAATGTTCCTCTACGTCCTCAGATAACCAGCAGCAGTGGTCGGCAGCTGGCCAATATCTGTCCCAACAGATAATTCTGATTATTTTTAATTCACCATATTGGACTGTAACAGAAATTCACGGGTGATGAATTTGCCTCCAAAGTAAAAGCACATGTTCATTTTGTTGCTTCAGTGCTTTATAATAGTTGAATTGCAGAGCTTTTATTTTTGAGAAGTTATAAACTTGGTTCTTGAAGATTGTCGATTGCTTAACAGACCTCTGAGATAACCGACATGCAATGTATGAAAAAATAACACCAGTTTAGTCATTTAAATTTCAAACTTATATGTAAACCACACACACAGTAATAAAGCAAATATCATTTTATGAAACACAGACCATAACATCTGTTTATAAAACGGAATTCGATTGATCATAGGTCACTTTTACAGCTGCAACCAACGTTAACACAGGCCAAGCAAACAGTCATGTTTAGAACAGGCACCATGGCTGTAAAACAGGCTTGACGTCTTTAACTCTGCACATAGACACGTCTGTAGCTCTGACCTTTCTAAAAACTCAGCAGTTCTAAACAGAGACAGAGAAGACGACCACGGAAATCAGTATCTAATGCTGCTGCTATTTAATGAGAGTTGGGGATAGGGGAGTTTAAAAGGGTCACATTTCCAACTGCAATGGCTCTTTTGGTGATTTTCGTCATCCAAGTGGTACAGCACATGTTGGCAGCCTTGTTAGGCTTAATGTGCTCTTTCATAAAGCAATTATGATTTATTCAAACTCCCTCTGCCATCTGTGGTATTTTATTTCAAACTTTGATGCTGTCAAACAGAAAAGGGCAGCGGCAGCGTGTAGCGTCAGCCCTCCTCTGGATTATTTCACAGGGAATAGCAGACCTTTGTAAGAAAGTGGAGTTTGGGTTGGGTGGTTTACAGGAGAGGCTTTACTGAGCTGTGGGCAGCCGGCCATGTTGTCCGGTCTCCAGCGACGTTGTAACAGTGAGCTACAGCAATGCCTCGTTGTCTGCGAAATCCTCCATCTGAGATGTTTATGCATCCTGTTAACATTTAGTGAGATGGCTGACAGGAAAAACAAAAACACCGCTCACATGTAATGTTGCTGATCTGTTAGACTTTTTGCTCTTTTTGTCAACAGAGTACTGTTGAATGTGAGAATGGCAGGAGAGCGCTGTGCAGCCAGAGCCAGGAGCAGCCATCAGTGAACCACACCTCTCCGCCCGTGGGAGACAGCCCCTCGTGTGCGAATGATGTCATCATCAGACATCAACTGAAGGCGGAAAGGTGACATTTCAGCCTGGCTTCTCGCTCTGTCTCTCTCTGCGACTTACATAATGAGAGGTCTTTATGTAAGTTATAAGTGGAGTCACATGTCTGTGTTTGCTTTGCAGCAGGAAGCCCAAAGCGGAGCCCAAACTCGCCGCTGCCCCTCCAGGCCACCCACAGCTCCACATGCAGCTTCAGAAGTTCACCATATCTGCTGACAAGGTGACTCGTCCTCTGCCAGGCACACATTCGCTTTTTAATTCTTACACTAGAAGAAACTGTCGGTACGCTCAACAGAACAAGTGCTGACACGGAAACGGTTCATGTTGCGTTAAATCCTGTGAAGTCAGGGTCAGAATTCATAAAAATTAGTTGACAAGTCAGCGCTGAAGTTTTACTCATCAGTTATTACACCAACTTCTTCTGAGCAGCCACAGGCATGAGGTCACATTTTAAATTAGACTTATTTTCAAGTATGCTTTTTTTATCATGTCCAGTAATTTACTTGTTTTTGTCTTTTTTTACAAATGCTTAAAATGTGCTTAAAGGTCAGAATGGGCAGCATCATCCATTTCCTGGTCACTTTAGCAGCTAAATACCATGTTTGTTGTGCTGAATTTAGATGACTAGATGTTTAGCTGTTCTTTTTCTAACCATAATGCTTTCCGGCTGTGGCTCAGGCGGGTCATCTACTAACTAAAAGGTTGGTGGTTCGATCCCCAGATGCTCCAGTCCACATGCTGAGGTGTCATTGGCGGAGCTGTTGAACCAGAAAGAGTGCAGCAATTAGAAGCGCTGTATGAGTCTCGTACTGTAACAAACTTTTAGTGGCCCATAAAAGTGCTATATAAACCCAGTCCATTTAACATCTCTCTGTCTGTCTCCCTGTCAGACTCTGTCCTGGCTGAAAGACAACGTGTCCATGGCCACGCAGGTGTGTTCCATCGCCGGCTTCGAGGGCCTGGAGGCAGCCAGGAGGTGTCAGCACACCCTGGAGCGAGACATCCTCACCAACAGAGCCAGGATAGAGGTGGTGAAAAGGGTGAGTAGATTTCTCACTAAATATCTGTCTGTTGTCCATATGGGCACTTTATATCTCAGTGCAAGGACATGTTTGCTGGGATCAGCTGATGAGCTACCTCATTTTCCATCATATTCTCTTATATGCAGTTTTTAAATGCATCTTGGTCTTAAAGCTCCCACTCTGAAGCAGTGGCTGTATACTGTGACAGATATTATCCCTTTTTGAAGGTTCTTTAAAAAGATAAGTCCTTTGTATTTTACTTTGAACACCTAGAGGCCACAAAAGCCCATTTTCCACTGGTCAGAAAACCCACAAACACCAACATCTGGCTTTTGTCTGGTAATGGATGCAATCGAGAGAGAGAGAGAGAGAGAGAGAGACTTAGAAAGGCAAACTCCTCTTCTGGCAATGGGAATGGAGATAATCACCTTTTCAATGGGTTTACTCGCATTTACCTGATTGTTAATGTGCAGGAATTGGTATGGGTAGATGAGTATGTGTATCTATGTGAATATTTTTGCCTATTTGTTTCCTTTGCAGATGTATTAACAATTGTGTATATTGTTTGTGGTCTGCTTTGCAAAAAAGTTCCATAAAAGAAGCGTAACTAGAGGCAGTACATTACATTCATTTTCTCATGACCTTGGATGAATGCCTTGAATAAAAATATTCCCCTTATTTTGCAAACTGGGCACGTTGACAGGTCTGGTTTGTGTAATAATTACGTAACGAGCTGATATTTCATCCGAGACAGCTTCAGTTACCCAAAGCTGCAGATTAGCGCCGTATATTGCAACATAAATCCCCAGTCCTAAGCCATCACACGCTCTCATCAGTTTAACGCCTCTTCCTCAGGAGGGCCGCGGGCTGGTCCGAGCTCAGCACCCCGGCAGCGCCAGGATCGAGGAGTTCCTCGGCCAGCTGGAAGTCCTATGGGAAGAACTGCGGAGGAGGCACCAGAGGAACGCTGTGTTTCTGCAGGCCTCAGAGGAGCTGGGTTTTAGGGTAAGATTCATAAAACAGTTTCACTAGAAGCACTCATCTTTAATCTTACTGAGGCGACTGCTTACCTTTTGAAGTTGCAGGGGAACTTTATGGTTATGATGGATGATTCTGGATCAGCTCTCTCATTGTTAAATGTTTTAATGCTGGACCGGAGCCTGGACTGCATGCATACTCTCATTGTTAGAAGCACATTTACCTTCATCTTTCCACCTTAATTGGCTGAATAGCATTTGGGGTTAACTGGGAGACTGTGAGGTACACTGTATATCCCCAACAATTAATGAGAGCTATTGCAAGGCATATAAATTGTGCTTCCATGTAATTAAGAGTGTATTAGGAGATGGAAAGAGGCTGTAAATCCACCCAGATGGATGACTTAGTTGGAAAACATGAGTCTTTTATTACAAAAGATGCAGGTCAGAGTATAATGTCGACTTCCATTAGATAAACCTGCCTTTGTTACTGTACTGAAGTCATTTTTCATGTGATCACTACATTATGACAAAAATATCTGTACTCTTTATTTGTTTGATTGCATTTACGGGAAGTGTTTTTTATTTTGCATCATTGACTGCATCTGCCCAATATCAAGAAAGATTTTAACCTAAACAGATGGGACAATAACACAGAAAAGAGGATTTCTTGTTCCATATCTATCAGTGCATAACATGCACAACAACATGGCATAAAATATTTATCAAGACGAAGCAGACAAAAGAGAGAGAGAGTGAAAATGAGTAAATCTTAATTTCTCACTGAGTTGCCTAGACAAATCTTTTGTTGCCAAAAGTCCGGCAGATGATGGTTCTTATATCACTGGCAAAGTTTTGCCAGCTCCCTGGCTGTGTGCTAGAACTACAACATGCACTTCTACATTTCTTTCCGCATTCCGCAGCCAGTTCGAACAATTACAACACAATCATTTGATAGATGTGGGAGAAAACTATATTCAACGTGTATTAAATGAGCCTTAATACACTGTGGAGAAACTACGGCATATAGAGGAGGAAGTGTTTACTGTAGAGAGTGAATCATCTCCAGGCCATGAGGATGCATTTCCTCCTGGACAAGTTTTCATTCTCACAAAACCTGTCTTGCATCTAACCCTGCTTTTAGCAAATGTATTTTTTTTTATTTGAAGTGAGAGTGGTTTAAGTTAAGTGATATTCTTTGAACTATATTAAGTCTCTGTTTGCGTTAGACATGTGGGGAAGTTTTTACTTTGAGTACATTTCAGAGCCTTTGCTGTATTCTTTTAATTGAGTAAAGAGGTTGAATTAGTAGTACTACTTTTGCTTGAGTCGTTTTTAACTCAAGTATCTGTACTTGCGTGTACTTAGAGTGCATCCGTTGTACATGACTATCCTCTTTGCGTCCTCACTGTACAGGTTGTGAAAGTGCTGCAGGCCCTGGGCAGCCTGGAGGCCTGGCTGGAGTCCGTCGAACTCTCCATGAAGGAATCTGCACTTGCCGGTGACCCTGAAACAATGAGCGTGGCTGAGAGGGAGAGCTGTTTGCTGGAGAAAGAGGTGGCAGCGCGCAGCCTGGAGCTCGGCGCTCTGAGGCAAGAGGTGGACCTCCTTCACGGCCACAGTCACCCGCTCACACAGTGGCTGCCAGCGCGCATGGATGAGGTGGAAAGAAAGTGAGTTTTTGGGAGGCAGGAAGGTTAATGTCCTGGGTAGCCCCCCTGATGTCTCTCATCATGGAAGGCTCATGTTGTGGATGAGACTTTGGGGTTTTTGCTCGTCACTGTGGTCAGGAAATGAAGTAAGAATTTTGTCAGTGTTTCCAAGAGGTCACAGGTTTGGGCTTGGCACGTCTGTGATCCAACATGGAAGAGTTTATCCATAAAAAACCCTCTGCTTTTATTGAAGACAAACAATTTCACCCCATAAACCTCAGAAATATATATCCATAGATCTCATGAGCTGCTTTTTCTCTCCAACCTGGCAAAAATATTCTCCATGCGCTCATTCACTGCAAGACCCAAGTTTATTCATTTGTGATTCATGCAGCACTTAGTGAGGTCTACCCCACCGTCCTGACATGCACTTCACCCACAGCTTGTCAGTGTGTTTCAGAGTCACCCGTTCACTGTTAGCAAAATGACGCCTCTCAGAAGACAAGCTTGTTGCCATGGACTCTCAGTTAAACCGTGTGATGTTGTACTTTATTTACTGGAAGCACCAACGTCTATAAACATAAGTTCAGACTCTGTAAAGAACACCAAGCTGACCAAGGAAAATAAAGAGACGGAAAGGGTTCAGTTTGAGTGTTTCCAGGGCGGAGGTGTTATGTAGGGCAGGGATGTGCAGTCTGAGGGGCCGTTGATGCAGGTGGAGGCTCTTGCTAAGCAGCTGTAAGACACTTAGGATGATGTCATTATTTAACGTGAAATACAAGCAACTTATGGCTCATTTATTGTAAGAAAAATAGCCTTTCAAATTGCTCCTTTACCATTTAAAGTGTAAACTCTGCACGGACAAAGTACCTTCACGCCCCAAAGTGCAGGATATGTTTATGTGACACATGATATATGATTACATAAACAGCTCTGGCATGGCCAGTTACTGCCTGCGGTCTATGTAATGTGGTTCTGCTGAAGGATGTAGGGTTGTATATGAGGATGTGGATTACCGTTAAGGTGTAGCTGATCATGAAAACATTCCCGTGGGTCTGTGTGTGTGTGTGTGTTCCAGGTACCATCGTGTCCAGAGCGCCCTGACCCAGCAGAGCTCAGAGCTGCAGGACACACGAATGCTGACGGAGTTCCTGGAGCGCGTGGAGCTGGAGGAGAGCCAGGACGGTTGCCGGTACAGCCTGGGCCAGGTAAGACATTACT